ATCTATGCCACCAAGAATTGAGGCAGTTCTGAAGGCAAAAGGGGGTCCAACCCGTTACTAGCATGGGGTACCTAATAAAGTGGCCGGTGAGTGTATATATATATATATATATAAAACAACAAACCAAGCATGATGGAGCTCCTGAACTACACTTTTATTGAGCAACAATCAGTGAAATCGTTTTTTTTTTCTGTAATGATCAGGAAATTTTCAATCAGATTTCTGCACCTGCTGACGGTATGTTGGTTCACTGTTCATGAGCAAGGCATTTTTTTTCTTTCTTTTTTTTTTTTTTTTCAGAATAAGTTTTTTTGAACATAATTCCAAATCAAATTTTTTATTTTACTAAATTGGAACTTAGTATTTTTTTAAACATTTATTATTACTTGCACTGTTTTTTCTTATTTCATCCACAAGCGTGAATTTCTCATTTTGCTTACAGGGAGGGTATTTAAACGTTTAAGTCCAACTGCGCATCCAGGATCTTTAACTGAGACTTTCTCTGCAGACAGCACAAAACTTCTCCTCAAATGCTAACTATTGATTTACTTCAAAACAGAAAGGAAATATTTCCACTGCAACGATAGAAGGTTTGTTGCAGAACTTTCTAGATGCTTATTAAGAGTTTCTATATTTTGACATTTAAGATCCTTACCAAAAAGGGGCAAGCTACTTTGGGACTTCAAAGATAGCAGATGCCTTTGCTGCTCTCTCTGCAGAGTTTCACATGACCAGCTCTACTTTTCCCACCCTGGTTTGAAAGCCTTGGTGTCTGAGCAGAGGTTCACACTCATTCCATAACAGCTACATGAGGCCATATTAACTTAACTCTTCATACAAGGTGCTTGGATCATAATAGAGTCAACTTCTGATAAAGATATTCGTTTTTATAAAGACTTGTTTGCATTAAGCTAATAAAAAAGCTGCAGTTACCGTGGGTAAAAACAAAGAGCCACGGTTTGTAGGACTGATGTTATGAATGATAGCTTTTTCGTAAGTACTGTCATTGCTGGAATGATACTATTCAAAATCAGCCCACACTGACTCAGCATATGACTAAAGAGACGCCTTGGAGTAGTTTCAGTGCAAAGCCCTGAGTCAAGTATAGAGCGAGCCGAGTCATGAGTTTACAGACCCTTCTGTCAGAGCGATACCGCCACTAATATTCAAACAATGCATCTGCTAGATGACAGGGGAGCTTATGTGCCTTTTCAACTAAAGACAGTGTCGTTTGTTTTCTATTTTTAATGGCCAAATTCACACAAAAATGCAAGTCGAAGCTTCAGGATAAAGGAAGTGCATCATGGGAAAATTGCATATGAAAAGCTAAATATCAAAATGTGTGTATTGAATCAAAGAGGGAAACTAATATATATGGATATCTATATATATATATATAATTTTATTTTTCATGCATTTTGAAATCATTTTGACAGGCATAAGGCGATCGGCTTCCCATGTCGCAATATATGGCCGATTTATAGCTCACACCATACTCGTCTATAAGTGTGTATGTGTGTATGTGTGACTAAGCGAGATTCGTTCTGCATGCATATGTTTTTTGTGCAAGTGTGCATATGCCATGAGGGTGAGGCTGGCTAGTTACAGTTACGGTAAACCGTCACAGAGGCTCGGTCTGCTGCTGGTAAGTGATGTATATGGGTCATGTTTGAGGTTAGAGAATCAGCATGTCGAGTTTAAACACTGGTTCTGCATGTATTCAATCTGCAGGATGTGAAAAAGTATCTATTTCCCGGTTACTCATTCCAGCAGATTACTCACATGACAGCAGTGTTTAACCATCTTAATAAATTAAGTCAACAGAGGAACTTGACATTTTTGTTCATGTTATTTTATTACTGGCAACATAGATAAAAGTACAATAAATATGTAAATACATTTTAAGACATGTACAAATAAATAAATACTTTCATACTGAAAAAATACAGTTAATCGATCTTTCTGTGTACAACAGAATAGGTTCTCAAGCAGAAAATCTTGTCCTTGGGACAAACACAAGTAAAAAAGGTCTTCGCAGAACAAAGACATGTTCAGCAATTGGATAATTACATTCATGGTTCTGGACTTGTTGGAGTCCATAGATGTGAGTCCCAAATCTAAAAATCGACCCCACTTTATGCTCTCTTTTGGTTGAAACGTTGATAAAGATCCCTGTTAATGATGTCTGAGCCGCTTGGATGCCAGGTACATCTCGATGTAGTTGACCAGCACATCCAGCTCCCCCATGGCTTTAAACATGCCTTTATTCTCCATCTGCAAGAAAATGCATGATTATTACACATGAACAACTAAAGCAGAAGCCGATCGTAGGTCTGCAGGTCACAATATAAGCTTGCTCAGGATGCTCACCTGTGTATACGTCTGGTTTAGGTTTTTGATGTCAAACTGCTTCTTGCAGGAGAAGTAGTTCCTCTGAAAAATTAGGAAAGTACAGAGAAGGCGTTAACACATGGGTTTGATGGCATTGGTATGATATATATAAAAAAAGCTTAATAAGCAGTGACTAAGGAGCAATTACACAGGAAGGAATGAACAGAAAGGAGGAACATTGATTTGCTTCTGCGCTTCTGTTGTAAGCAGAACTGGATAAAGTGTGCATGCCTCTGCAGAGATGGCTGACCTAAACGTTAAGGATTATTAAAAGTGCTTTTAAATAGACAGAAATTCTAAATCCCAAACAACTACAGCAAATTGGGATTGGAAGTTCTGCACATTTCAACAGTAGACCAGGGTTAATTTAGAATATTTTTTCTCTCTGTATTGTAGAGAAAAATTTGGCATTTTTGCACGTGAAGCTCTGCAGCAGTTGATGCGTGTGATCAGTATTTACACGTAGGAGTGGGACACGTGTCTGAGCTACTTACACATCTGGTGACATCACTCTTGAGCTCATCGAAAATTTGTTGTATGGACTCCACGTGAGGTTTCAAATCTGTGGTTTCTTCGGTCACTCCGGCCACGGCGGTCGGCAGAACCGTTCTCAGGTAAAAGTCCAGGATGCTGTTCATGGCCTGGCAGGCAAATGGGCTCTAAAGGAAAGAAAAGCAGAACCAGTCTGGTAAGTGGATTGCAGGTTTATCCGTGGAGCTACGGGAACCCAATAGTGCCAAAGAAAATAATGTTGCTATAAAGAAAGCAAAAATGTTAGCTATAGTGCAGCAACGGTTAGTTATTAATGTAAAAAAAAAGAATATTTCTGAATTACTTTTATGCAATTAATGCCTTTTGATTTGCAGAAAAATAAACAGCTTTTATTTGGTCGTAAATAAATATTAATTAAGAAACACTATAAAAGCAAAAAACCATGTTTCCTACCTATTAAGAAAAATTTTACATGTTATTTTCCAGAAAATAAAAAAAAATTAAAAGATGTCAAACTTGGCACTAATGGCTTCCCACATGCTGGTATATTTACTTATTAAAAACGTGAGAGTTCCCGTTTAGTTAGCAGCCAAACTCACCGCTGGGTTCAAGGAATCCTCAACGCTCTGGTCTAACAAGGCTTTATCCAAGTCATCGTTTGCTTCCTGATGAAAAATAAATAAATTGGAAATAAATAAACCTGTTGAGAAGCGTTTGAAGCCGCGCAGGCAACCAAAGCGCAGCATCCATGGAGATCTCCAGCGCAACAAATGATGCTGCAGGGAGAGGAAACGCTGCTCAGCTCGTCTACTCACATAGAAATCTCTGATCTGTTTATAGTCCTGCCTCAGCTTCTTCGCCCTGACGGGGAATTCCTCCACGAAGCGGCAGCACTGGTTGTTGCAGACGGGGACGCAGCGACGAAATTGGAAAACGGAAAGAAGGAGCAGGACGCACAGGAGGAGAGACCCAGGAGTCATGTTGCTGCTGCTGCTGATGATGATGCTGGACAGAGAGGAGCCTCGGGGAATTAAAGACACGGCTTGATTTTCAAGAAGACACCCCCCAAAAAAAGATGCTCCTTGCAGGATGTTGCTTTAAAGCTGAGATGTGCATGTTTTGGGGTTCATTTCTGCTGTCAATATATAGGGGCTAGAGTTTTCAAAGGGTGGAGACTTACAGGAAGGAAAACGGTTAAACATGTTTCATACATATAGGGGATTTTCTTACATGTGCTCCTCCCATGAATGATAAAAAAAAAAAAAAAAAGTATCCAGGAACCCACCACAATATTATCATTAAAACCAGACTTTGGCCTAAGCTATGATATTAAACCAATTATATTTTTAGATTACTTAAATGCATTGCATTTTATTTTTTAATGCTTTTTTTCTCACTGTTTTAGTATTTATTTATGCTCAGTTGTGAAATATTAGTAATTACTGTTATAATAGTTGCTCTAATTGGTTATTTTTTGATGCATTTCTTAGTTCTCTTAAAACTGTTTTAGAGAACTGATATAAAATAGCTTTAGTTGGTTAAATCCAGTAAATATTTCAGAGTATTTTCTTCTCAATATGAAACGAAAATGTCCCCCCCAATATGGAAATAATACTGAGTTGTGGTTTGAGTTTGATGACGCTTTGGATTCTCTCTGTGTGTCAGATGTACGTAAGAAAAGAAACGGCGGGTGGGGGAGAGTGAAGATGCCAGGCCTGTTTTCTGCCTTGTAATTCCACTATGTTCTATGACTGCATGCAGAAGTGAAGGAGAAATATGTTTTGAAAAAGAGAAACCACGTGAAGAAGTACATTTTCCTTCCCCCTCAGTGCTTTTTTGCACTCTATGGAATGCCCATTTATCCTCTGTTATCATCACCCTGTCTGCCCTGTTCACCATCAGCTGGAGCCTTTTTACATTATGCAACCCTGGTTTTTCAAGAATTTTAAATTTCTGTTGATGGTGATGGGAAACCCTGCCTCTTATATGACCTTTGCATGGTTACCCCAGATTTATTAAACAGTTGTTTATTTTAAGAAATAAATACAGTAAACAGAAAGGCCTAGTACACTCTGAACTCCAGCTAATGTGGAAACAAATTGCATCAGAAGGACTTTTTATCAATGTGGAATTTGTCAGTTTTTTCTTTAGAAAGGCTGCACAGAGTTCAGTGAATCTCTGAATGAGCCTTGATCAATGAAAAAAAGTTAGGGGTGAATAAACAGCAAATTTTCAAAGTAGAAGACAAAGCACACATTCCTCATCTTGTACTAAATAGACAGTAAATTATTATCTATTCTCTGAAACTGGTTGGAAGGTAATGAGGATGCAAGGAGGCTAATTGAGCCAACTTTCTTGTTGTCGTCTTTGATTTAGGCCAATGTTGGACAAGATCTTTGGGAAAAGCCGACTTCATTTTCTTGGCTAATTACAAAAGAAATGCTGCCGTGACCTTAGTATGCTGGAGGACTTTCTAACTCAATCCGTTTTTTCCACTCCTAAAATAGATATCTAGTGTGTTGATGAAGAGAATTGGATTCGGTATGTTCTGTTCTGTCCTTGAATCAGGTGTGTTGAACTGGGGTCTAAAAAATTAAAATATGTTCTTCATCTAAAGATGTTATCTTGAAAATATTGCTGCATGAGTTTTTATATTTCCCTCCCTTTTTCTTCTACCCCTTATTGAAATAAAGGACGTCCAGTTTCCCTCAGTAGTCACCTCTCTGAAATTTAACTTCAGTATAAAAGCAGCTGTTCTTTGAAGACAGAAGAGATTTGTTAGACAACATAAATAGTATCAGCATTATAGTGCAGGGAAGATGAATATGGCTACATAGCTGCTTATCCTAAAAGAGAACCGGTTCAAAGCATATTCATGTGCTGGAATAGCTCAAAGTCCAATAAATTCAGAAGAAATATTTAATTATTCTTTTATAAAAAGTAGGGAAATATGTCTTCTCATTATTACACTGGAAAAACGATCTAGAAATAAGAAAAAAATTTCCTAAAGTAAGTTAATGTACCCTTAATTCGAGTAGGTAAATGAAAGTTTACCAATGGAATGAGTATTTTTGCTCTTAAAATAAGATAATTAGATAAAATGCACTTGAAATAAGACAATGCAATTGTGTTTTCTTATTTTAAATGTAAATTGTCTTGTTTTATTGGAAAAGTGTCTCTTTTACCTCCTCAATTCAAGAACAAATGCACTTATTTTAAGAAAGAATGACGTATCTAGATTTCGATTTTTGATTCTAACACCCTGGAATATAATTCCCATCGTCCTCACTGTTAGTTTTAACAATGTTTTTAGGGAAAGTTCCTCACAATGCTGAGTCTGTTTCAGCAAAGCGTTTATGTAAAACAAAGCAGTCAGCACAGAAACTGATCAGTTTCATGCTGATGCAACTTCAATAAATAGTTTTTAATCAACAGAAGGCTGAACTTCCTGATGAAAGCCCATAAGGCAAATTTTATGAATGGAAAATAATGACTTTAGCAGATTGAAGTTCTTTTAAATGTTCTTCATTTAAAAAAATAAAACTAAAACAAAGCAATTCTAAAACTTACCATGTCAATAATTGAAGGGCATAACTTGATTACTACATTAGAAATGTACAACATTATAATAGATGATAGTGCTTCATTTTAGAAAGGGGGAATTTCTCAAATATGTTCTATTTACTTATTGCAAAAGACAAGAATATAAATCACAGTTCGTGGGATAAATCCTTTTTAGTGAAAATGTTATTTATCCAATATGTTATTATCTTGTGACTGATCGATCATTTCATTAGTCTGACTCCCACTCGATTTGAATAAAGCTATTTTCTAAATATTGGGTTTCAAACTGTTTCAGTGTGTGGGGGCAGGTGTATTTTAAGAATAATAAAAAAAGCAGCGATTGACAGGGGGTTGATGTGTTCACACATCAAGTGACCAGATAAAGTGAAGTGGGCAGAAAACCAGCTAATTCAGTAAGCAGGCTTTTAGTCAGCTCTTCACGGAAATTGCTGTCATCAGAGTTTTCGTGTTGATGAGTTGAAAATCTCACTGTGTTCAATATACGTATTCCCCCTTATGTAATGAGACGTTTTGGTTTCGTTGTTACGAAACAGTGATAAAGGTGGTCCAGTTAGAGTAAAGTCCAGCTGCAGAGGGAGTGATCTGCAGAATGGTGTCTCTTTTGAGGGAGGCCAAAGCTAAATCCCTCCCATCATGTCAAACAGTTGACTTCTGTGCAACGCTTCTGATCAATAAAGATCGACGACGTCTCTCCTTGACCCTTTACAACCAAAGAGGTTTCTGATGGAGTCGCACGGGCTCCAACAATCCACCGTCAGCAGTTTTCCCACACATTACCGGAAACCACACATCCGATATTACATTCAGCTCAACACTTTTTGCCGTTATCACAAGTGGTAGAAAATGTTTTCAGGCTTCACAGTATACAGCTGACAGCTTTTAGGAGTCTTCGGTGAGATTCCTTTTGATCTGCAGAACTGATGACTTGCAAAACGTTCTGCAGCTGTGCCTTTACATTTCCTCGGCCCATCTGCGTCACATTCTCAGTGCCTGTGCACATTTTGCTCCTACATATTGTATTTGCATGATGTTACCTTTAGAGGAAATACATTTGTTTTTTACCTACAGAGTCACCACATTCCTCTTTCACTTTCACACTGTTTGTCCATTCAACTGTTTCGGTGATTGTTTATGTTGATTGTTCGCTAGGAAGGATAAAAGAATAAAGGTTGTGTAAGCTTGTGGTGGCTTTTCTTAGTTTCTGTTGTGAAAGCTTCACAGAAAACAGGAAACTACATAATGTACTTTTATAAGGGCTTTAAGGGTGGACTCCAACCTTGACCAGTTGTCCTTTGACAGCCACACATTCGTGGGTGCAGTCATATATCACATATTTAATCATTGTGGTAGGGAGTATGGCTTTTCAGGCTGTTATGCAGAAAAAATATTTGTTCATAGTTTCATTTGATCGAGCAACCTTATGGACTTCAGAAGAATTCCTTAGTCATATTGACTTATTCTCTGTTCCATCATCATGTTTGATTCATGACTGATAACACCAACTCCCTCTAATTTTAGTAATATCACAATAAGTTCCTTAAACCACAACAGAAACCTTATCAATTCTGCAAAACAGAGCGATGAACTTCACCCAAATAAAACCATGCTGAGCAAGCACCCATGGAGCAGAAAGACTAAACGTCTTTTTCCTCTGTCAGATTCAATTGACCCATGGTGCCATCAGTTTTGCGCTGTTAAAAATAGTGTAACCTATTTCTGTTCCATTGGTCTTTTTAATATTCAGTAGTCGGATGTGTTGCTGACTTTTTCCATGCTACTTTTAGTTTCTTTTGCATTCGAGTTTTTATGCATACGCAGATTCATGCATATGACCAGCAGCATTAAATAGTGTTAACCGCAATTAAGTAAGCACCGTTTGTTGTGACAGCTCAAATTTTCCCAAGGTTTTTAAAACCTTATAAATGCTGAATCAGTGAAAGTAATTCATATATTTAAAAAAAAAAAACTTCCTGAATGCAAATAGAAAATGAGTCACAGATTATTTTGGTCGATGTGTACTTTAGCATTGGAATAATTGATCTCTGCTGATTACACTTCATTTTTTATGTATTTGTTGTGTTAAGGTGAAGTAGAGGTCAAGTTTGCAACCAAAGGTTGACGTGAAATGCCCGACACAGGTGATGTGTAGTATTTTGTATCTGCGCAATCAGGCCAAAGATAGCCAACAAAATCCTTGGTCGATGTCAAGCCGTAATTGCTGGATTTCAAAAACTGGAAAGTTTTCGACACTTTGCGTCCTGTCAACCAATCAAGGGACGGGATCTGGCTGTGATGTAGGGTGTGTCACTACCTGATTCGTGCAAATAGTACCATCATCACATTTGCGCATGTGCAACCAGATATACACATCCAGGTCGCCTTTGTACTTTGTAAACTTAGTATACTTTGTCAAATATACCTAAATTAAGTTGTTCCCTTCCTAAACATAGTAAGGGTACTAAACTCTAATGTAATAAAGGTCAAGAATGTATTTCCTGAGAAAATAACTTCATTAAAATCCTTTCCGTTTTATCACTTCTCTGTTCC